TTCTCTCTCTTACCAAAGGCCAAATTCTTATTTTCTTCTTTTAATTTTAAGGAATTAAAATAGCTATGAAATACAGTTTTTCAGGCTCATCCATTTCATTTGATCAGAACAAATTTCAGGACTAATTTTTGTAGTTAAGCAGCCACTGTAAATAATGCAGTGAATGTAAACATGAATGACTTCAGATTTGGGTTCTGGGTCCCAATCTGCCACAGTAGGTCTGTGGCTTCAGGCAGCTAACTATCTTTCTATAACTTAGCTTCCTCATCTAATAACTACCCAATAATACTGTTGCTATGGAATTTATGTGGGACAATACAGGGAAACCACATAGCACAGAATAGTTGCTCAGAAAACATTAGTTCCAATTAAGTAAACTCAAGGGAGCATAATCAAAATGTACACGAATTGCAGCTGAACCAACCATAAAAGAGTTACATTATAAAAATATCCTTTTAGCTTTCTGCGACACAAATCTTTATGTACCATAAAATACTTCTGATACCCCAGGACACTCGGATGAGTCTGTTATTTCAGCTGTTCAGGTTCAGAGTTATTCTCAAGGGCTTTCTTTTTGTTTTTCTTTCTCTTCCTTTCTTTTTTTTTTTTCTTTTTAAAGCTTTTTGCCATAGGATGCATGCACTCATCAGGGAGGAGAGAGAGAGAGAGACACTGAGAGGGAAAGTGAGAACTCACTCCTTAGGGGGATGGCCACATAGCATGCCCTTCTCCTCTATTCTCCTCCTGGTATCTTGGGCATGCAGAGACACAACCTTGGAGTGATTTTCAAACCACCAGGTTCAGGACTCGAACTGCAGTCCATTATGTGAGAGTCTAGCACCTTAACTACCATGCCACCTGCTGGCCCCAAGGGCTTTCTTCCAATTGCTCAAAATTCTCAAAAACTCCAGGCAACTCTGTGGAGTAGGTGGATCTTATGATCAAAAATAGGGAGATGATGTTTCTCCCTCTGATCTCTCTCCCCCATTGTAGATCTGAACTTGCACATTTAATAGGTGGCAAATCTGAAAGGCTGCAGTACAAGACAACCTCTGTTTCATACAAAGTAAGGTGAGCTGCAATGCAAGGCCACATTAAAAAGAAGTGAAATCGGGAGTCACAGGTGACGTGGTCGTTAAGGTGCTGGACTCCCACATGGAAGACAGTGGTTCAAATATTGGACCCAGTGGCTTAAAAATCACACCAGTTATGTGCATACCCAAAATCCTGAGAGGAGAATGGAGGAGAAGGGATTGCAGCACAGTCATCCCCCCAGGACGGGGGCGGGTATGACTTCTCTCTATCTCTGCCTCTCTTCTCCAACAAGCACACAGTGCCCTATGGAAAAAAAAAAGTTAAAAAAAAAAAGTGAAATCTATTTAAATAGTTTAGTTATATAATATATCCAAAAATATCATTTCATCCTAAAATTAATAGAAAATAGGTATTAATTAGACACCTTACTTTTTTTCACATTAAGACTTTGCAATCTGGTGTTTAACACTTATAACACATCTTTTTATAGAGTAGCCTAATTTCGAGGGCTTGCTGGTGGCATGTGGCAAGTTTGGATCATATAGACAATACAGATCTAGAGATCATCACTTGGCTATAATCATTTTAATATAAAATACGATAAGCTGAAAATAAGATAGCCATTAAAATTGTATACTTTATGGAGAACTGAACTTAAAAAACTAATTTTTAGGTATACTTTAAAAATAAAATGTATGGTATATTTTTAAAAATATATATATAAATATCTCATTTTTTTTCCCCTCCTAAACACAGATTTCTTTCTTTCCCAAGATACCATAAAGTAACATGACAGTAGAATGCTGAGAGGTCTTTAGCAAGTGTCTGAACAAGCTATTTACTTTCACAACTTTAAGATGACAAAACGGAACCTAGAAAGATAAGCCACTCGTCTAAGCTTTATCAGTTTGTCGAAGGCAGGAAGTGGGAAAAGTAGCAACCTACTATACGAGTTTAGTCTTACGAGCCGTGCTGAAAGGTAGTAATCAGTAGGACAGCTACTTTTTTTTTTTTTAACTACCATCTTTTTAATTTTTTTCTCTTATTTTTAAAATATTTTTTATGATCTTTCTTTCATTCCATTATTGTACATCTTCTAGCAAATATGATTTTTCAAAGTATGCATGCAATACAAGACAATTGAATTCCTAAGACTACTTGAAAATCCTATGGAAGTTTTATGACAAATAGGAGGACCTTGATATTCACTGAAATGATGTAAACTTATATCATAAGGTATTATCCTAAAGAAAGAGGATTATTGAATGTGAGTCACCACGAGTACGCATATTTTTCTACTTGAGGTGTTATAATCTGTAGGAGATGGGTCCACTTCCTAGAGCATTTGGTTTATGTCGTGATCTGTTAAATTAATCTGGACTAAAACTATAATAGACTGCTAGATTTCTATAATATGCAACAGTAAAGCAAATGAGATTGAATTACTACAGAATAAAAACTGCAAAGATACTCAAGTAGTCTCATTTTTTTTTATATTAATAGTTCCTAGGACCTTTGATTTTGAGAATGTAAATTTTATGTGTTACTCCAAAATAATTTGTAAATGCATAAAGATCAACATGCATGCTTATGTTTCATTGGTCCCATTCCTAATCTCATTAGTCAATGGAAATTATGTAAAACCTTCATGGATGAGACTATGAGGCTAGAAATGAGGACGAGACTAAACTGACAGTACTATTTGGTTTGGCCAGACATCCTAATAGGAAAAACACAGCAGCCAGGAAAATACTTTGGAAGATAGACAAATTTAACATCAGTTTTGATTGTGGTATCATATGAAAGGCATGCATTACAGAAGACTTATCAGCACATCACAGTTGGAAGAAGGTAGAGAAAAGGAAGAACACACATTACAACTGAAGGATTGCATCTACCTCTAAATATGTATTTTCACAGGAATTCAAAAATTTTTGTCATTCCTTCTGCCACCTGTGAGCATACAACTTTACAATCTTTTCTTTATACATCTGATGTCATCTTACGGAATGGTCTAGCTCACTATTTCCAGACAGGACGGGCTATAAAAAAGACTTAGGCAGGGAAACAGGTGACCTCAATCTCACTGTCTGTGAGGGAGCAAGGGATACAGATGTGGAAGGATCATTCCAGGTGTGCAAAGTAACAGCCCAGCAGTTGAGCACAGTGTTGGAAGAAAATGGGAACATGGAAGTTAGAAATATGCAGAAGAACTGTCAGAATAAGTGGGATCTCTCGGCTAGTTTGGTGTTAGGAAGAGCTGAAATCCCCAAATCCCAGGAGGCAGGCACTAGGAAAGGCTAGCAAGAAATGAGCTTTGGGAACCATGGAGGGTTCTGGGTCATCATTTAGACAAGGAAAAAGGGAGCAGAGTTGTGTGGTCATCTCAGAATAGAGGCTGACCATGAAATTTAGAAAGCTTCAGAAGGCCTCCTGAAGCACATTAAATGTAATCAGACCCCCTTAAATTCATTCTAAGGGATTTAAGGACTTAAATGTTTTACAAACAAAATGTGGACTTAAGACCGTTATTTCAAATACATAGTAAAAGTTAAATCCCTGAGCCTGAGTTGTGGCCTTCACTTAGCTGTTGGATCGGTCTACAAACTTGCCAATGCCTAATTTATGATCTAGTCAGTCAGCTACAGTTGAAGGAAGGAGTGCAGAAGAGGTCCTGGAAGTCACATAGGGACGGGTCATTGTCCCCAGCTTCTGCTCTGTCTCAGTTTCTCATTATCTTTAGGACATCACTGGTGGGTTTCCATGAAGAAATGCACTATATGAGTACATTTTTAAACATCCTTTTATTTTTACCTCCACTAAAATGGAACAGGACATTCTATTTTTTATTTTAAATGGGCTTTTTAAAGACTGACATGGGAAGAGAAGAATAGCTTAGATACTTCGTTACTCAGGCATTCAATTAACCCTGCCTCTGTGTTAAGGGAACTGAGCAACACTTGTCAGAGATGACTTTGATTCTAGAGTTTATCTTTCTTCATCATAGATGCCACCTTATAATGATGCCTATTTAGGTAATATTCTAATATATTAGGGTATCACTTGGAAAAAAAAAAGCCTAGAAAATGAAGTAAGCTTATAAAGACCAGCCACCTGGTTTTTTCTGTAATGCAGTTTACATTAGGGACTCCATCACTTTTCATACTGACTTTGGAAAATAAATGACTTCATAGGAAAGTCAGGCAGATCTTGCCTTATAAAGAAGGGGTATAGACCAAAGGCAGAGGAGTCTTAGTTTTCTCTTTCACCTACAGGATTTGGTAAATGGGTCACTTTCCTGGTGAAGGGTATTTGTGTATAAATAATGTAAACCTTTCCCTTTGCTTTTAATGCTTTAATTAATAAACTTCATATTTTTAGATTAATTTTAGGTTGACCACAAAACTGAAGGGTAAGCACATTGAGCTCCCATATAACACCCTCACGCCCACCTGTTCCTTGTCCCCACAGGTTCCTCTGCACTCCCCATATGATATTTTCTCTATTATTGACATCTTGCACTTTTGAGGTACACTTGTTATGGTAGATGAACAGTATTATTCACTAAATCCATAGTTTACATTAGGGTTTACTTTTTGCACTGCACATTCTTTTTTTTTTAATTTATATATTTATTATCACCATTACTCATTATATAAAACCATAATAAATGATAGAAAAACGTTACAGCTGAGTCTTTCTTTGGAATGAAATTTTTAAAAAGGCTAAAGTGCACTGCACATTCTATGGGTTTTGAGAAATATCAGTACATAGAAACATTCACTAGCTATTATAGAACCATACAGAATGGTTACATTGCTCTAAAAGTCCCTGTGATCCACCTATTCATCACATCCTGACTCCTCTTTTACTTTTATGAATCATAATTTTCAACAAAAAATTATTGTAACTTTTTCGTATATTGTTTTGTGTCTACTATTTTTAATGCGGACACCAAAACTTACCGGTTCAACAAATTCAAACTTCTTTTTTTCTTGAACCTCTTGAATTTTAAAGACATATTCTAATGATGCTTCATAGAAGTTTTGATGTTCACGGTCAATCTGTGTATCTGCCTAAAACAGGAAAAACAGGCAAAGTATCACATGGAGAGTGATTACTGATGGTTCTGTCCAGAGGAGGAGTCAATTCCTACTGTTCCCTGAAATCTTTATTAAAAGTTGACTCCTAGGGACCAGCAGTTAGCATAATGGCTATGTCGCTGGACTCCCACGTAGTCAACCACGGTTCGAGTCCCGGACCTGGTAGCTTAAACTCATGCCGGGTGCGTGTGCGTGAGTGCCCAAGATCCCGAGAGAAGAATGGGGAGAAGGGATTGCGGCATGGCCGTCCCCCCTGGGGGTGATTTCTCGCTTTCTGTCTCTCTGTCTGTCTCTGTCTGTCTGGCGAGCACACACGCCCTATAGAAAAAACCTCTCCAAAAAATAAATAAATAAATAAAAGTTGACTCCTACAAAATGTTTTAGTATAAAATGTTTTAGTATAAAACTTACTACAAGCCTCTTCCATAAGAGGGTCTCATGTATGGACTGAGAGAAAGACACACACACACACTCAGCATACAACAGTTGTTACATTTTTTTTTTAATTATGAAAGAGGTACACAAACGCATATTAAAATCTATGGGATCATAGAAGGAAAGGCTAAACTCTAGGGAAAAAATGGTGGTGTTTGAGTTGAATCTTAAGGTGAGTAGTTGCCATATAGCCAATGATCAAGAAAAGTCAGGAGCTATTCTCATTTAAAAAAGGAGGCATGGCGGGGTTTGACAGAGTTTGGCTACCAAGTCAGTACATGGAGGAGAGGAGGGAGAAGTAAGGTTGGCATCACACTACAAGAGGCATGAGTTCCGCATAACAAACGGGTTTTAATGGAGAGAGAAGCATCTGAGAATATTAAGCAGGAGGGCCACATCTTAAGGTAAACTTTTAGGTTGATAATGCTGGTAGCAGGGCTAAAAAGAAATTCAGTGGCTGTCACCAGTTGAGTCACGCTCCCTCAATGCTACGGGCATGTATTCTTTCTCACTGGAATAAAGTTCTATTGATAAAGTGTGGGAGAGTGTTACCGAAACAATTACATTTTCTTCTAGGCTGTGCTTCTCTTCCCTCTAATATGCCTATGTCGCCCTCAGATGTACTCTTTAAGAGTGACTTTGGTTCAGTAGAGAGGCATGCATTACTTTTCTGGCCCAGTTTGATACTTCCCACTGCCAGCTGAGATCACCAAAAACAGATGAAAAGAAGGGGCTTGGTAGAGTACTAAGTACTCATTAACAACCACGTGGAAACATGGAATTGCCATGGAGCCATGTACAATGGTAACTTCATAAATAAAAGCTAAAATGGAAAGATAAAATTAGGTTTCTTGGATTGGACATCATAAAATAATTACATAAACTTAAGCATTTATTTATAGAATTAAAAATAACCCATATTACCAATAACACAGCAGGGTTTTTCTTTAATATGAGAGAGACAAAGAATGAAGGAGGTATTTCAACAGAGTCTCCCTGTGTCAAGATCGTCCTGCCCCAGCATGTTAATTTGGTTCTCACCACTGCACTCGACCTGTTTAAGTTAGACCAGGAATTGAACTCAGGGTACTCCACATAGCTGCAGTCACCACACACTGGTGTCCTTCCACTTGTACTACCACAGCTGGGCCATCACTAGGGGTTTTAAAGCTGAAAAGTCTGAGTTTTTAAACAAACATGTGAAGAATATGTAAATAGTAGACTTGTACCAAAAAGCAAAGCTCCCACACACTGTCCATAGGTACCAAGAAGAAAAAAAAAATCAGTATTTCACTTGAATCATCTGTTTTCTTCTTACCATCACTCAGGAAACCATACCAGATAGAACAGCAAATTAAGTTAGTAATGGGGGATAGGTGGTGATGTAGTAGTGAATGTGCAACAATTGACTCTCTATGGAAAAAGTCTGATATGCCAATTCCTGTGGTATAAATATTCCCAAAATGGCCAGCTTCAAACCACAAACCCAACATCACTAGAGGTAGGAGTTGGAAAGAGATTCAAGAACCGGCTCCCCAGAGCAAGCTTAAATATATCACCAAGTGTATATGAGATGCAAGAATATTTCAGCTTTAAGGAAACGTAGTCCACATGTTAATTTGAACATTTACTTTAAAAGATAATACTATTAGGACCAGCAGTTGGCGTAATGGCTATGTCTCTGGACTCCCACGTAGTTGACCGCGGTTCGAGTCCCAGACCTGGTGGCTTAAACTCACGCTGGGTGCATGTGCGTGTGTGCCCAGGATCCCGAGAGGAGAATGGAGGAGAAGGGACTGCGGTGTGGCCATCCCCCCTGGGGAGTGATTTCTCGCTTTCTGTCTCTCTGTCTCTGTCTGTCTGGCAAGCGCACGCGCCCTATAGCAAAAACCTCTAAAAAAAACGAAGATAATACTATTAATTATGCTGCTTAGTACATAAGAACAAACTATTAGATCATCAGGAAAGTCATAATGTATTTTTTGTTTTTCTACATCATGATTTTCCCGACGACCCAACAGAATGTCAAGACACCCACCTTTAGAGCCTAAAATGACTATTTCTAGTCAAAAAAGACTTGCAGAAAAGAGTTGGCACAACAGGCCTGAATGCTAGATTTGGAAAAATCTGCTCACAAGGATAATCCCTGGCTGGCACCTGAGAATGTGAATTTTGAGAGAAATTTCATAACTGTATGTGATCACAGTGGCTAACTGTACCTAACCCCAGAATTTGGGTACATGCCAAGCAGAGCCTCCAATGAAAACCCTGAACACTGAGTTTCTAGTGAGTTTCTTTGGTAGGCAACATTTCACACTTGTTGTCATCTATCACCACTCACTGGGGGCCTTGAACATGCCCCGTATGTCTTCACTGGGAGAGGATGCTTGGAAAGTTGTACTGTTTACCCGGGACTTTGCTCCTTATACCTTTCCCTCTGCTGACTTCTCCTTATACCCTTTCCTTGTTATTAATGACAGCCGTGAACTTGACCCTGTGGTGAGCCCTGCGAGTCCTCACAGCCAATCACTGAACCTGGCCTTGGAGACCCCAGACACAATAGCATTGAGTCTTTTCTTCAGAAGCTCATTTCCTACATACAATCCTGTCCCACCTACCAACCCAAAAACCAAGTGAGCAAAATATATAGAAAGGAGTACTAAGGACTCATGTGATTTGCCATTACAGATGTTTTCATCACCTCCAATCTAGACGATTAGAATTTAATATACCAAGGCTGCTTTGAAAGGTCATACAGAGTGTATGGTACCTAAGGAATATGACAACTTAATCCCTTGTCAGTACAAGATTTAGAAAGGCCTTCATTTACATGCTGAACCCTTTACTACACAAGTTCATAGTGTGTGGTACACTAGTAAACATCTGCTTATAAACCGACCCACAACTGGTGCCGTGTATTGTGCAACGGATATGCAGGGTAATACGTGGTTTATCATTCAAATTGAGACCATTTCAAAAGTGAAATGGAACACTGGTAATAATCATGCCAGAACAACAGGTGTGAAATGTTGTTTACACAGCAAAGGGAGGGTAAAGAGAGAAACCAAATTATTGTAATCAGAAAACCATGTGGTTCTGCAGCTACCTAAAATTCCTTTCTAACTACAGTAAGTCATCTCAATTCAAAATAGGGGAAACCTCAGATATTTGTTGAGTAATTCCCAGAGGGAAAAAAAATTTGAGCTAAAGTCTGAATAACAGGGGAGTTTAGAGTAGATGAAAAGACACGAGAAGAGTCTGAGTGAGAGAAAAGTCAGGAAGTTATGTTTAGACAGAGTAAAACATTTGTGACTAGAGGATTCATTTGGAACAGATGCATGAGAGTTAAGACAAAAAAAAAAAAAAGATGAAATGAGCACAGACTTTGTTCTATACACACGGCAAAAACTTGAGGGTGTTGACAAGATCCAAGCTGCACTGTAAGATTAACATGAGGACAGTGCGCATGGATTACATGGCAGGGTTGGGTACATATGAAAGTAGGTAGATCTCGTATTTGATACTGGTATAGGTGTCTGGAGTATTCTGGCAGGAAAGAGAAGGTGACAAGCAACAAGTGTGAGCAATTTGGGAAAAATCAAAGATAAATTCAACACAAGACATAATACCAGCAGTAACAGATAACTATGGAAGTGAGAAATAGGACCCAATTTTGAAAAGACAGTGACATGCAGATTCCATATATGTCATTAAGAAGTGGTCATCTAAGGCCAGCAGATGGTGTGGTGGTTAAGGTGCTGGACATTCCCACATGGCCAACCGTGGTTCAAGTCCTGGGTCTGGTGGCTTGCTTTTTCACTTTCCTTCTCTCTGTGTGCCTGTCTTTCCCTGGTCAAATTAAAATAAAGGAATGAAAAAATAAAATGAAATAAACAATTCTTAAAAAAAAAAAAAAATGTGGTTATTTAAAGTCTAAGTAATTTTGGTCAGTGCTAAAGTGGCCAGGCAGAACAAGATCATCACCTGGGAGATATCTGTTTAGATGTTATAGACAATGTTAAAGGAGATATTTCAAGAAAATGAACTGAAAGATAAGAATAGATATATACAGGGCAGGCAGGTGGCATGGTGGTTAAGGTGCTGGACTCCTACATGGCTGACTGCAGCTCCAGTCCCAGATATGGTGGCTTGCTCCTCTCCCCTTTCTCTCTCTGGTCAAAATATGAAAAAATAAAAACATAATAAATAAAATGTATACAAAAATAAAGGTATAGGAACAGAACCTAAAGAATTTGCTTCATTTGGGAGTTGAGGACAAGAGAAATTTGTTGAAAGAATAATTTAGTGATATGTAGAAAACCAAAAATCCAGATTTCTAAATAATTCATTTCTCTTTTTAATGTTTCTTACAGTTATAAAAAGTATAAATTCTCACTACTGTAAGTTTATTGATTATTCATTGCTATAACAGTGAAAGTAAAGAAATATAATCTCGGGGCCAGCAGGTGGTGTGGTGGATAGAGGCACAGGATTCCCACATAGCCAACTGCGTATTGAAGTCCTGGACCTGGAGGCTT